CTCAAGCTAACTCCTATACTCTCAAATTAGTCAGCTTTAATCAGAATTAATCAGGTTCATACTTTTATCATGTAGTGGGTACTGTCCTACAGTGAGAGAGGGATGGGGTTTAACTTTTCATTGTCAAATTGTTGGTGTCCTTTTTTGTTATTTTCTCCCCAATTTTAATTAACAGTCATTTGCAAAAATTAAGGACTCAAGATAAATAAGAGACTACAGCAAGTCACCTAGACATAGGACTGTTGTGCTTTCTTTACTTAAATTCAAATATTACCTTTAAAATAATCTAATGATAATCATTATATACTGAAACAAAATGTTTCATTCCTGATTGGTCTATTTCCATACCATACACACTGGCTTGAAATTAAAGCTTTTTAAGATAACTAAACAATGCTAAACTTTTTCATAATTAAAAAAAAAACATTTAAACTTGATGTGTTCATAAAATTTGATGTGATCATTCTAATGAATGATCAAATCAAACAATATAATTATCTTAAGGCATTTTCCAACTGGTTAAAAATGTTTTGAGAAATGTGCACCAGGAATGTACAAAGAGTAGTATTTGTAAGAGATTTTGTTTAGAACATATCATACATAAAAATGCATAAACAGCTCTTGCATGTCATAATTTATGGTTACTCATTACTTGTTAGGAAAGGTTTCCAAAAGGCACTCCCATGGCTTGTGCAGTTACCAAAGCTTTCTAAACATCACTCATGACTTTGAATTAAGAAATGTACTTGAGCTCATGGGATTCTCCTTAAAAATACATGTGAGATTAAATTAGATTCATAGAATTGAGCAATAGAAAAAGAGAAATGAAATTCATCATATTTGGAAGATGATGCTTATGTTATTGTTCTGCCGTTATACACTTTTTCCATCTGCACCCTGTGCTCACATGTGCCAATCCCTGCAAGAGCACACTATCAGCCAAGGAAATCATAGAAGCACAATGATATAATAGAATCCTTAATTTATACACATGCATTTGGTATTGTCTGTTTTAATTCTTTACACTCTAACATCAATATATATGCATATTCTCCATTCTTTTCTCTATGTATTTCCTAATGTTCTGACAAGGAGAATTTGTTCAATAATCAAGAGCTTTTTTTCATTATAGTAATCATGTCCTCTATTCATTCTCATGATAATAATGATAATTTAGGGATAATATTGCAAGGAGAAATTAGTTGCTTGTCACTATTTGGGGTTAAAGGTTCAGAGAAAGTTTATGTTTAAACAGTAGAAAACCTGGTGTGCCTGGTCTTTTTTTTTTCCTATGGGACAAGTTGTAAATAAAATAGGGATTCTTATCTATGAAAAATTAATTATGTATTTTATTTTTTTACCTCTCTTAGGTTTCCCTCTGGTTTGATGATGTATTTTTGTTGCAAGCAAAGAAAAACTTAGTGTAGAAACTTGCAAAGAGAGAACAACCACACCTGTTGCAGCAAAGTTCAGAGACAGAAGACACCACAGGGGACCCACTCACTTTTTGTCTGGGATGAAAAATGTTGTAAGGAGACTTTTGGGCTTGTGGAAACTTAAAAACAATGTAATGCTTATTTTGAATGCTATGATTTTACTAGTTTTTTAATTTGTTTTGTTTTTTTAGGTACTTGGAAAAGCCAACATCAGTTTGGAATCAACAAAGTAAAAGAAAATTATTGCTAATATGAAATATATGAGAATTACTCTGCATACTGAGTGTAGAGCTTATTCTAAATTGGAAACCAGTTTATGATTTCTTTTTTAGTCACCCTTGATATGAAAATGTTGTGTCCTGTGTACATTTCATTTAAAAAGTGAGATTATGTTTTAAAACTGAAATAGTAGTTTAAATGCTGGGCAGTTGAACCCATGAAGCACAGATAGATCAGTCATTGAAAAAAATACTGGGCATATGATCATAAGAAGTCAAGTTTTAACTTAGTTTGATGGCTTGTTATTGAACCTGTGCATTCTCATGATGTTGCTTGTTAATTGTCATCTGAAATCCGCAAGTTTTGATATTTCTGCATCAGTGCCCCCATCCTCTGTCCCTGAGAAGTCAAAGTGGCAGTTGCACTGTGTGATGCTGATAAGGATTTGTTATATCCTATTGTGGCTCTCTCTTTTCCGAGCTTTTGGAAAGAGTGTCTAATAAACTAAAAATATCTATGGCTCATTTCACCTCAGTTGGATTTTGTAACAGAAAGATGTACAATACCCCACTTACAGCCTAACACACCACAGGAAGTCCAAGCTTTTACATTAACACTTTGTTAGTATATGAGTACAGCAAAGATATAAGCATTGTAAACTGCTGCTTATAAGCCCCCAACTCCCATTTATAAGCCTCCCCCCCCCCCCCAGATTAAATGCCCATCTACCTTTCAACAAAGAAAAAATATTAATAAAATACTAAAGAAAAATATTTAATACTAGGACAGCAAAGATGAACTTTAAGGGGGAAGTCTGAACTTCAGCTCTGTTATCTTGCAGCTTTGTTCGTGTTGTTAGTTTTTTCGTTTGACGTTTTGAAGCTTAATTAAAAACCAATAAATGCAAAACGTATTTTGATCAGCGCCCAGCTGCTTTCGCTTTTTCTGTTGTTTTCATAAGCCCTCTCGGACATAGGGCCCTCCGTTTATAGACCCCCCCGGATACAGGCCCCTCCGTTTATAAGCTCTTCCTAAACCTCGTACAAAGTTGTATAGTCGCTGAGCTTATAATCGGTAGGTTTCGATATATTTGTATTGTGGAATTTAAAGGATTGGAATAGTCACATTCTCAACTTGAAAGTTTGATTTCGTTTTGATTGAAAACAAAGATAGCACAGCTTTTTTCGAATTTTCAAGGCTGGTTTGCGGCTGATTAGCTCGCTGTTGAGAGAGGCAAGAGAGGGAACTGAAAGCTACCTATGCGGCCGGAAATCAGCTTCAAAAAACTTACAAAATTCAAACGAACAAACAATATAGAGGCAAGTAAAGTTATTTGTTGAAAAGTATTTCAAATTTCTGGGCTAAGTAAGCAACAGTTTATTCTCAGACAAATCCTCATATTTCGGTCGTCGGCCAAAATTATTATCATATTTGCATAGTTTCAAAGGTTAACTTTGCGAGCGTGGGCTACCTGTGGGTGCAGTCACGCATTCAGCGTAGAACTTAAAAACAAGAAAAGGGTGGAATTACCAAAAATGCGCCATTTATTTTTGATGGGTGGGAAGGGGGCAGGGCTGATGAAAATGAGCGAAAAAGCTGCCGTAGGATCAGGAACTTTAACTCGCCCGGTTCTTCGCTCGTCTCCAATCCACTGACTCAGAGTCTCGAGCAGGTTTCTTATTTTTAGAAAATTTGTCGGTTGAACTTATCTTCGGAGATTCATGAAAATGACAACGATGTAACCAAGATAAACACAAGGAAATACATTTCCCCACTGAATAAAAATAGGGGTCAGAGGAATGTAACCGTAAAGTGAGGCAAAGACCTCATCAAGTAATCGCGTGACAGTAAGAAAATTTGATTTCCATTGTCATGGTCAAGTGAAGATTTTTATTGTGCGAATGTAACGATTACATATTCAAATTCTAGGAAACAAACGAAGCGATGAATCGAACGTCATTCGTCTCCCGCCTCTCGTCTCGTCGAATTTCTCGTTTGTAAAAGTACTGTACAGTTATCTACAAATCAGTTAGTTTTACACCTCAGCCGAAGGAAAGGAACTGTAGCTGTGGATGAATTTTCCCAAGCGATTTGAGTAACAGATTGGTTGAATCCTTACCTCTGTGTTCCAGGTAAGACTTAGAGCAGCGGTTTGGAAGATATTTTGATGACAGTCGTTGTTTGTAGTACCCTCAATGGCAGAGATGTCCCAAACAACCTGCTTCAGATCATCGTGTATACAGTCGTATGTGATTCTGATAAATAGCGAAAGCGAAGCAAGATCAAGGTTAATAGAAGATAACGTAGGGTTGAAGATGCTGGATAAACATTCGAGCGCGAGATCGTTAACTTTCGTTTTCCCGGAAATGTTGATGAAAAACTGCAGAACCCTTAAACTATTGTCACAACATTTGGAAAGAGATGTATTCGTAGAAAATTTGGCTCGGGGGCTCGGGAGCTCGCTATGCTTGCATGTGAACCATTTTCAGAATAAACTAAGAGCGTCGTGAACTTAAGGAAGTAAGCTGTGTAATACTGATCGAGTGGTTGTAATGTTTCCGAAGGTTGCTTGTCTTTATAAATCTACCGCTTTAATCTCGATGTCTCTTATCGGCTGTTAATCGTGTCTAACGCAGCTAAGTGTGTTTCAAAAGAAACTGTGTAACTGCATAACTTGCATTTATTGCAATAAGTTATACATCGGCGAAACAGGAAGACGACTGGGTGACCGATTCCGAGAACACCTTCGCGATGCGGAAAGAAATGATTAGGACGCATCCAAACCAGTCGCTAGACACTTTAATCTTCCTTATCATTCTAAACAGCATATAGCAGTTTGCGGCCTTTCCTTACATCTAGGCAGTTCGGAAAGCCGTAAAACACTAGAACAAAAATTTATATTCCAAATCGGCACCCTTAATCCCCACGTGGTTTGACGCTAATTTATAATCACTAATTTATCCTTTTATATGATCACTAATTATTAGATTCTATTCCTTGCAATGACTGTGACAACGAATATATCGGACAGACCAAACGTCAGTTTGGTACACGGTTAAAAGAGCACCAAACAGCGGTTTTTCTTAGAAAAAAGGAAAATTCAGCTTTATCGGAGCATACATGCCTAACCAACCATACAATTGGGTGGGATAATTCTAAAATTATCACCACTAATCGGCGTTACCATCAGCGCCTTTGTTTGGAGGCTTGGCATATCACAGGCGGCCCAAGCTCCAGCTGTGAGATGATCATCTCACGCAATAACGGTCATGGCGGAATTATAAGAGTTTGTATGGGAATATTTACGAGCGCTCTAAGGAATAAAAAAAAAAGACAAATTCTCAAAAAAAAATACCTCACCTCGCTTCCACAGCGTAGTGCTTGTTATCTGACCGCTTACTTTGATGAAAAGAGCCCATTTGAGCGAGTTGTTCATTTCGAGGTTTTCAACGTACATAAGAAAAGCCCTCGAAATGAACAACTCGCTCAAATGGGCTCTTTTCATCAAAGTAAGCGGTCAGATAACAAGCAATACGCTGTGGAAGTAAGGTGAGGTATTTTTTTTTGAGAATTTGACGTATTTTTTATTCCTTAGAGCGGTCGTAAATATTCCCACACAAACTCTTATAATTCTGCCATGACTGTTATTGCGCAAGATGATCATCTCACAGCTGGAGCTTGGGCCGCCTGTGAGAAGACCGACTTTTTCTTTAAGATATCACTCAAACTTATGTAAACAAAAAGCTCAAATTACGGTTCGCTTCAATTTCAGGCATAAATTTGGATAATCTTTCATGGACGAAATCTTTATGAATTTCAAAGATCAAAACCATTTCCTCAACTACATCAGCTTTATCTTTATCCACTTAGCAAACAAAGCTTTCCAAATTACAGTCAAAACACCAGACGTAGTTCACTTTGAATTTCTCGTTCTATCCTAGTTTCTCAAACCGCATCCAAACAGGTTTCACTACACAACTTCCGTCTAAGACTCCCAGTGGAACGTGACGTAAAATACGTCACGCGTTACTAGGTAACAGTGCTCATACATATGCACGAACCCCACTCATGTGGGGTTCGCAGAATTACACACTTTGTCCGTGTTGAAGTCGTCATGTATGCAAAGAAACCACCGATTTTTTTTACTTTTGTATTGTGGCTTGTTTAACTTGAACTTCAACTGATAAGTTTGGAAAATGAACTGATCGCTGAAGCGCTCAGGGAAGACAAATAATATTTTCCTTTGTGTTCTTTTTTCAGCTTTGGAAGTTCCTCAACGCAGAACAGATCAAGATCGTGAACAAGACAGCTCTCCAGGTCTGAAAACACTAAATATGAATATTAGCCCTATTATACAATAAAATCTTTCATGCTTAAAGTAGAACTACACATATTTGCAAGTTTACTGTAAATATTAGTCATGACCTTAAATTTTGTTTGAAAGTAAAATTAATACTACGACATGAGGATGGAGAACCAAGAAGCTTAATCGTGCTGAAAATATTGGGTGGTTTTCAGAGCTGTTAGTTAGAGCCTAACCGGAAAAAAACCGCGGGCTAGTCTGCCATCTTTTGGTGGATATTTTCACCTCATTTTGTCTAAAGAGATGTATCATTAGCCAGGAACAAGGTTATACCCCATTCAAAACAAAGCTATACATTCCCCAGTGGTATGTAGAATTTGATTTCTGTGCTTTCCGAAGATGATAATTGCGATCGCGCATCGCTTCAGCGATTTTATTATTCATCCAAGGAGCAGTTGTGCCCTTTACTCGACGCTTTTTAAGTGGTGCACGAGAATCCACAACTTCGGTAAATAATTTGTTCCAAGTCAAGACTGCGTCGCTGACATTGCTCTCATCGTCAACAATGTGCCACGGAACATTTTTTAAGTTCTGGATGAAGGCATTTTCGTCAAATCCTTTGAATGACCGATATTCTATTGTCCTCGATGTGGCCTTTGGGACACCAGCTTTTAACACACAATAAATTAGCGAATGATCGCTTATTGATAGGGACACAACGCCGCTATCAACAATTCGGTGTTGATTACTTCGTTCTTCGGTGTTGATTACTTCGTTCTTGTTCAGA